ACAACCAATTTTCATTTCAATGCAAAATAAGTCTATAACGCATAGGTGGCTGTGAAAAATAAAAGCCATGACAATTGTTTTTATTAATCACAGCTGCCAGAATACGTTTAAAATAGATTTGGGTAGTTAAGGTTTTCAAAATGGGTAGAGGAAAGGTTATTAGTGAGAAAATTCGGTTACTGATAATTAATTTTTTTAATTCTGGGAAATCAAACTCAGAAATTGCAACTTTGTTAGACTTATCGCGGTACAGTGTCAGAAATATTGTTAGAAGATACAACGTAACTGCTTCAGTTAATATTAAGCTACGATATCTGAAAAAAAGTAATATCACAAATGCCGACCGAAGAGCATTAAGAAGAATAATCGTGAAAAACAGGCGTGCCAATAATTTACAATTAAGTGCTCTGTGGAGTGACGCTGTTGGAAGGAGAATTTCAAGGTCCACACCTCATAGAGAGGCCCACAAACTGGAATTTAGCATTTGCAAGGTAAGTTTTCTTATAAAAAAAAGTGAAGTAAAAACCCTAAAGTTGCACAACTTATTTATAGGCCAAAGAAAGAAAAGCCACCATTAACTCCACTGTAAAAGAAAAATCGGCTTAGATGGGCTAAAGAACATAGACAATGGGCACCTGAACACTGGTGTGCAATAAATGGAGTGATGAGGCCCGATTCGAAGTTTGTGTTGGTGACAGTCGCAGTAGAGTTATTCGCAAAAAAATCAAGCATTCCATGTTGACTGTCTGAAGAGAAAAGTGAAATTTCCAGCATCCATTATGCTCTGGGGCAGTACATCGTCAAAAGTAGGAGGAAAGCTTCATTTTATTGATGGAAATGTGGATACGAACAAATATTTGGGAATTTTAGAAGAATCGCCTTTACCAGTGATGGAAGAATGTTTGACATCCGGCCACGATTTTGTGTTTCAGCAAGATGGTGCAGCGTGCCATACCTCAAAAAAGGCTATAAAATGGATGAAACAAAATAATGTACCACTTTTAAAATGGGTTTCTGGCAGTCCAGATCTGTCACCTATTGAAACTTTCTGGCACGAGATGAAAAAGGTTCTACGACAACATCCTGCTCGTACAATCACCGAACTGAGACAGAAGCTTCAAGAAATATGGGATTGTTTTACACCAAATTTTATCCAAAACTTGGTTAACACTATGCCCCAAAGAATTTCAGCCGTAATAAAAAATAAAGGTGATGTTACCTAATGGTAATTTCAATTGTTGCTTTGTTAACTTCGCGCATTTGTTCGCACATTGTTTATTTGTTCAGATGTTCTATTAGTTATAGGTCTAAGTGATTTCAAATATGTATTTTTTACGACTAGAGTGTATCTAAAACGTTTTTGAGAAAATAAATTGTCTTAGAAGTAAATAATTTCGTCATGTTTAGTTTATAAAGGCATATTTTGGTACAAATCTTGAAGAGGGCCAACTGAAGTGGGAAGGGGCTCGTACATAGGACAAAAATAAATTTGAGATAGCAGATCACGTTTGGACAAAGCACCACATAATACTTTGAGATCATGCTGAGATCTTCCACACAGAGACACACTCATCGGAGAAATTTCAAAGAAGTGGCTTCCATGATACTGAATAAAAATGTTGACAGTTCTCAAAGTGTCTAAATTAAACCAGCACGACAACGATTGTAAAACACATCACACAAATGCAGCTCAACCAACCAGGACAAGGGAAACGTCACAACCAACCACCGTCGTCATCAACCGGTATAAATAACCAAGAAAGAAGCATGTTCGCCAGATTACCTGATGGCGATCGATGATCATATCAATCGGTACGTTGTGAATAAAAAACTTATAAGCAATGCAAGTCCGAGAAATAGCATCCCAATCATCCTCAAGTTCATAAAATTTCAAACTACATAAGCAACTACCAGCTTTTTACTGTAAGAAACCTAACTGCACTGTACAATGACTTGGAAGTTCGCACAGCATAATCACTACACTACATTTGGATGTATTCGAATTTCAAAAGAGATCAGATTTCATCGAATCGCTGTCATGTCAAAAATCGGCAACTTGACGACAAATCGCCATACCTGGCAACCCTACTTTGGGTGTTCGGATCGAGCCAGCTGTTACATTTCTATAACTTCCCTTTCCCCAATATCGACTCACGCTATTTCTGCGCCCCTGGCATGCACTCAATATATGGATCAACTTTTGCCCCCCATGAAGTCGACTGGCCTGGCGTGTCCACTGCATTTTCCACGGAAACTGATTTACAATACGTGCTGGTCCTGACGAAGAAAGCGCCTCTTCCTTCGAATTTATGTCTTCTACCCGGCCTTCGATTGAAAATAATCCACGCCAGCTGAGCCAGATATTCGTTGCCGGATGTGATTTCCCTTTTCTGCAGATATGTTTCCATGCATATCGCTGAGAATGTAGGAAAATATGTATACTAAGTGACATATAAATCCGAACACCCAGTTTAAATGGTTTTATTTTAATAAAATTTTGTATAAGTACTTAATAAAGCATAATAAGTAAATGATAAAAATTAAAAATGATTGCACTGCTTTAAAGCCCTTTGACCTTTAATAATGTGTGGATGCACCCTGATGTGCTACGCATTCTCCAACACGCCTATTCATGCTTCTGATCAGGTGGTAAATGTCGTCCTGTGGTATGTCATTCCAGGCAACAACCAACTCCTCATGAAGTGCTTCTAGAGTCTGAGGAGGACGTTGCAAATTGAGCAATCTCCTACCCATCATATCCCACACGTGCTCAATTGGGGATAAGTCGGGAGATCTTGGTGGCCATGGTAACAATGTGACATCATTATGTTGAAAGAAGTCTATTGTGACTCTTGCAACATGTGGTCGGGCATTATCTTGTTGGAAAGTTGGATCTGCCAGGGTGTCAAGATAGGGTAAAAGATGGGGTTCTAGAACTTCGTGGATATAACGCTGCGCGTTCATGTTACCTCTGATGAAGATTAAAGGTGACCTGGAACCATAAGCTATAGCTCCCCAAACCATAACTCCAACAGTGTGATGAACATGTCTTTCAACAAAAAACCGTGGATTCCTCCTTTCACCACGTCGCCTTCTAACCCTGGCACGACCATCGTGCATGCCTAAACAAAACCTGGACTCGTCACTAAAGACAATACTGTTCTATTCCTGATCCCAGAGTGACCGTTGTCTGCACCACTCAAGGCGATTACGTCGGTGTTCTCGAGTTAAAGGGAGGACCCAGTGTGGCCGGTATGAAAACAAGCCAAAACTTCTCATTCGTCCGTAAACACTTCGCATGCCAATAGGTCTTCCGTGTTCTGCAAACCATTCATTTGCAATGGACCTGGTAGTGGAGAAACGGTCCCTTAAGGCCAATAATCTTAGGCGGCGATCTTCACGGTCTGTTGTTCTACAGCGGCGTCCAGTGCCCCTTGCTCTTTGCGTACGGCCTTCTCGAAGCCATTCCTGACAACACCTAACCACAGTGTCTACACATCTTTGTACTCTAACTGCAATTGCCCGAAAAGAAAGTCCAGCTTCCCGAAGTCCCACTATACGGCCCCTATCAAACAAACACTAAGTTGACGAAATCGTACAGGTCTCCGTACTCTAGGCATCGTAACCGATCGTAAAGATGTCAAGAACCAAAATCCGCCAACGTTAATTCTTTACTGCGGCTGAAATATTCATTTTTAGAGCGTTAGTGAATTAGAAAAAAGCAGAATAAAAACCGGAATGTCCAACTGATAAGGCTGAAAATTTTTTCACTTGTTATTTACAGTAAGATAAATACATTCACCAACTTTTATTACAATAAAACTATTTAAACTGGGTGTTCGGATTTATATGTCACTTAGTATATTTGGTTGCTGAAGTTCTATACTTATGCGATGTTTTTACATAGTCTAGGAGGAGCCACTAAGGTCACGAGTGCCCTTATATGTTTTGAGGACGTTATCAGGCACTTATAGGAGCATATACAAAATCAGGTCGAGCTCCTCCGATCGTGGTTATTTGGCGACATCTTTAAAAATGCTTAGGTGTGAAACGGTTATTCAACATATCTTCGTAAGCACTGTGCTGATTTTAAACTCTTCGAAGCTCATCTTACTCTTTTTCAATAACAAACGTAATTACACATTCCTTCTAGTTTTTCAGTTATGTCAAAATATTCAGTTTTTGAATTTTGCACTTATTCAAATAATGTTACTTTCAACCAGAGAATAATCCATTTTTTGCTAGACCTGAAAACGAGTTTCGAACAGTTAAAAGTATTGTATTCAGAAATGCTTTAGATAGTTTCTGCTAATCTCCCTACAAAAATTGAACAAATCTTGCGACGTGTAGGACCAGTCACTAAGGTCTTGTGTAAACTTATAATGTAACCTCAATTTGAATGAGGAAGACTACTGAGTATTATTAGGAATCTACAAAAAAAAACAGGCAATGCGATCCAAATCCTGCTTGTTTTGCCACCGTCTTTTAAACATCGCCGCTAAGTTGTACAATAGCTAAACATATCATCCTTATCAGTAGACCGATTTTGTTTCCCTGAGGTTTGTTAATAACCACTTTACAACTTAGCGACCATTTTTAAATAAGGCTACCACTATTTGGATCGTGTGATCTATTCTTAATGTACATAACAATGTCCCGCATTCAAACTGAGGGGACATGCGTATAAGGGCACACGTGTGCTTATTGGCTGCTTCTTGATTACCACTGGAAAAAATCGAAACAAGTGCAACAATCTAATGAAGTAGTATGTTGGAGTGTCGAACAGAGGTCCTAAGACTGCTAGGATGCATCTTTTTTGGAAACATACCTAGCGCATGTTTTGCTTGAAAAATTTGTGTTTATTGTGAAATATGCTCGAAAATAATCTGTTGCCAGTTGAGATGGCGCTGCAGATGATATCCTCCGAGTGTTTGCGAAGAGTTTGTTTGGTTTTGAAGCAAAAAATATTTTTGGAATTATTATAAAAAATATTTTTTCAGATTGCTGCAAGGATGCGAGCTGAAAAAAGTCCCAACGGAAGCATTAAAGCCACTTACGAAGTTGCAAACGCTGTAAGTTACTTAGTGCGTAGTTTCTTGTTGAAATTAACGGCGCAGTGTCAAAATATCGGTTCGAAATATAAAATAAAATGTTTACGATAGAAATGCTCGAGAAACATACTTGAATAGACTAGACTAGTATATTTATAAAAGCTTTCGGCTTTCTAAGTAGCCAAGAGTGTGGTTAAGAAGAGTTTCTCGGAGCTTGGAAAATAGTTTAGATTACTAAAGTAAGGGGTTGCCACGTTTACTCGACGTATACAAACAACTGTTCAAAGAGTCAGGATGAAAAAATTGCATCAATAAAGATAAGATTGGAAATATCATAGAACTCGGCAACCGTTATGTGTTATTTCCACGAGATTACAAGTCGTTTAAGCTTCTCAAATTAAAATCTTTGTGGTCCGATTCTTTCAAATTCCTTCAGCGGCTAAGCAATCCCATCAATACGTTTTTTAAATTAGCATCGCTGAGTGGATAGCCCAAAGCCTATCTACTTGACATTTATTAGTGAAAATTGCAGAATTGTCCAAACTCTATAAAAAATGGGTTATTTGAAATAAGAAGCTTTTTTGCCACCAACTTTGCGATCACAGCATAAGATAAAACTGGTCCCTTGTCCGGGAAACAGAACATTTTGGCTAACGGGCCCATTACAATTTCATCCACCTTTGTCTGAAGCTTTTTTTTGTATACGTATATATTACGTACTCTGACTTATTTTTTACAGGATACAAGATAAGCGCCATTTCTATTGTCCCCGTATTTCCTGACAGGCCTATAAGATTTTTTCTAGATTAGAGCAGCATTACCATTTTAATTGGTTTTATGTATACATGACCTCTTTAGACGTCCCGCGGGAAACTCGGCTTTAACCTCTACGATAGGGTTCCCAATTTCAGACACTTCATCGTCCAAAGTAAGGACATAAAATAAAATTAGGCATTCAGATATCGTCCGAGTCATCTTTTTCGATCTTATTACAGTTTGAAAAGCTACCGAATGGGAAGCGAAATTCTTGCTTTCAGGAGGTTCTCTTCGATTCGGCTTTGCCGGAATTCCAATAATTGAGAAACTAATTGGATTGGTTGGAGAAAATTCCTCGAGTTTCAGTTGGTATTTCCACTTGTTTACCTCAAGGGAAATAACAAGCTTGTAAGAGTTTATAAGATACAAGTCAAGGTGATAGATATCCATTAAAATCGAATGTGTACGTATTGTTTGGCCTTCAGAATTTTCTACCAACATTTTAGATAAAGTGATTGGTGTTCAGTTTGTCCACCCATTTCCCTCTAGCTGTAGCGACTACAGCTATTACAAGTTCCTAATGAACTTATGTATTCTTACCTACACCGCTATTCTGTTTTTCCCTTTCTTTCACCAATTATGTGACCCTTTCACAAGTTAGGGCTACATTTTTAATCGTCCCTTACAGCGTCTTCTTTTTCTCTATATATCTTTGCACCTCACACTTAGGAACTTTGATAGGTTCATTCTTATTTTAAACAGGGTGACTTGTAATGTCACGTATTCCTTGTTAAGGGGTGATAGATTAGATAAAAAGTAACCGATTTTGTCCTATAATGTCCTATCCAGAAGTTAACCGTTTTTGAGTTATATGAATTTTATTTTTCTTATTTTTTATTCCGATTTCAGACGGTTAAATTTGAAATACAAAAAAACTACATGTTTGAATTGGAGTTTTTTGTTATCGTCGCATAGCGGACATTCCAATAGTTCATAATAAGTAATAAAAAGTTGAATATTTACAAAAGTTGTAAAATTAAGCTTTTGAAATGTATGATTTTCTTATTTTTTTACTAACTTATTCGATAAAAAATGCAATTTTGTGTAAAAAATCTCCTAGTAATGAAATGTGCAAGTTATGTAAATAATATCTCTATCTAACAAGCTTTCATTTGACGTATTAAGCGTTCAATTATCTGAAGTACATGCAGAGAAACAACAATGACACCCACAGAGGCTGGATTTTTGAGGAATTTGTATTACCTGTTTACTGTCCTCAAAGGACTCGCATGCCATGATTGTTTTATGGCATCGGCTCGACGAGGAAGCGAGCGAGAAGAGCTGACTTAGTGGAGGCGTGAGAGAGAGAGCTGTTATTATTCATCATTGCAGTTACGGCATCGCCGCACGCCGAGTAAGAATTAGATTTAGTTGGTATCAACTACTGCGTACATACATTAAAAAAGCGTAATTTTAAAACGTTTGTAGTTTTTCAACATTTTATTACTTATTATGAACTATTGGAATGTCTGCTATGCGACGATAAGAAAAAACTCAAAGTTAAGAATGCAGTTTTTTGTATTTCAATGTTAACCGTCTGAAATCGGAATAAAAAATAAAAAAACGTAAAATTCAAATAACTCAAAAATGGTTAACTTTTGGATAGGACATGATAGGACAAAATTGGTTGCTTTTGACCTAATCTATCACCCCTTAACAGGAATACGTGACATTACCAGTCACCCTGTATAGTCGAGTTCTAAGTAATTATTGTCTGGTCCACGAAGTCCACAGTGAGACGAATCTGGTGTAATGCGGCCAAAAGCCTATTTGTCAAAAAGAAGGTGGACAGTGAATGAAGTTTATTTTGCATACCTGAAGTGGAGTCAACTTCATAAGTTTAAAAGATTCTCGGAACTAATGATGGCCTATAAAAGAGCTTATATTGATGTTGTATCCATGCCTATTGAGACAAATATGATCGATACGATGTTTCATCATTTCAACGCTCACTTTGTTGCACCCTGTTAGTATGAAAAACGTCCGATGTTTTGACATTTATGCGCCATTAGCGTCGGTAATTTCCTTGTGATATTTTTAGCTGTATCGTCAAACGGTGACTTGATATGTTTGAAATGCTCCTATATTTCATCGTTTAGCTGTAAAATATCTTTATTGATGAACGTGTTTTGTGACTAAAATGATTCATGTGTCTCTAACACCTTGTGGATTAATACGAACCTTGCTTTCGATATAGTTCAATGATCTACAGTAACGTTGATAAATACGGATACGGTCGACCGACAAGAAGTCCCCAGCAAGCAAAACATTTTTCATAAAAAATTGAAGACAGGCATGAATTCCGCTTATAATACATGCGGGTTTGGTGGATTTTCAAAAAAGTTGCTGCTATCCATTTTGTATCTCGTATTGAAGCTTTTATTACATACATCAAACCATGGAGAGATGGTTCGTGCTCTTTGTCAACTCCTCGGCTTTTCCATTTCACTTTTTTTTAATACATCAGTTCTTTCGTTTTGTATACGTAGACAATTGGGCGGCAATCAAATTGAGACAATAGAGGAAGACGCTCTTGAGAGCGTTGCTCAATCTTTGAGAAGCTTGCGCCTCGACTCGAACAAATTGAGAGCAGTGCCCAGTAACGCTCTGTCTAAGATCAGGCATCTGGAAGTCTTGTAAGTAACTTGCACCTGGATGCAGTAGCAGTAGAGTTTTGCAGAGTAGACCAGTAGAAAGTTAGAATCGCCGTAGAGTAGAATTACACTAATACTGAAGAAACAAAAGGAAATAGCTCATAACCAATGATTTTCAGCAATTAGTTACAGAAAGTCAGTCCGATATGTACGAATATCGTAAACTCTGACAGTTATTCTAGGACCAGTGATATCTACACAGTTTCCACGCTCATTGTGTTTCGGTAGTACTCTGACTTAGAGACGTCGCTGTTTCTGCCGAGTAAGTTCAAAAGTCTGCACTAGTTGGTTCCTGATCCACTAGTAAACAATCGTTAACATACAAATTTGAACACATGTATTACAGAAGGGATTCTACTTAAGAACGATACTCTGGAGTGGTTAATCTCAGACCGTTTTGTGACTAATACCTGAAAGTCTATCAGCTATGAGTTATTTCCCCTAACAGCTAATTTTATAGTACCAACTATCTTCAAGCTAATAGCTTACTCCACACGATCAAGTAGTTTTTTAGCTAGTGAAGTGCACATTATGTAGCTTAGAGTTAATTCTAACACTTCTTAGAAATAAGTGCTTTATATGGAAGATACAACATGAAGGAGGATAAGCTTGAAAAAGGCATGATCTATACAGGGTGTCTAGAGCTTACAATAGGAAGAAAAGTTTATATAAACATCGGTCGACAAACGTCCCCTAAGGGCGCTACGGTCTCTTAAAGGGGCTCCCCTAAAGATGGTTTTTCCTTAATATTTCCGAAACGTGTTGAGATAAAGACATAACATTTGGTATTCTAGCCTAGTTTTTTATGCTTGATTTAAAAATTTTAACAATTTTAGACAGTTTTGTTTGGAAGCCTATGTAACAGGGATGGACTCAGGTTATTTTAGCCCCAAAATTTTTGTGTGATTCTATTTTTGAAATTCAATTTTATAATTTGAAAATTTAGGATTTTCTACATAAAAAAGGTACCCTCAATGAATATCGACATATTGTGCCATTTTTGAATAAAATCAAACTAAAAAATTTCACATGATAGGAAATGTACTGCGAATTTAAATGAATTGTTGGTTATACATAGTTAGCCATGACTGCAAACAAAAGTTGTTTTGATTTGATATGACTTATTTTGACATTAAGCTGACATTGTTAGCAGTGTAAAATTTACTAGATTAAAATCAAAATTTTTATTAAATCGATTTAAAATGCCAAGATTTACAGACAGAGGACTGACTGACATGTATTTTGTGTACGGGTTTTGCAATGGCAGTTCATTGGCAGCCGTAAGAGAATATCAAAGAAGATTTCCCAATCGCATAGTACCTAGACGTCGAATGTTTCCTGATATTCACCCTAATTTGTCAAACCTTGGAAGTTTTCAGCGCATGCAGGGCTCAGGAAGGCCACTGGGAAATCATCGTATGGATATTGTTTTAAATATGTTTGAAAATGATCCGCAAACAAGCATACGAAATGTTTCAGAAATTATGGATATATATCAATCAATAGTAAGAGAAATTTATGAATACCTATTTGATAGTTATCCTAAAAATAATAATTTTAGATAGGAAGAATGACAAGAATGCAAGGATTACATCCTTATCATTTTAAACGGGTGTAGCATTTAACGGAGACAGATTTTTTTGCCAGCAAATGAAAACACTGTTCCTAGAATATTATGGTCGGATGAGTCAATATTTACTAGGAATGGTGCTTTTAATTTCCATAACATGCATCACTGGTCAGATGAAAATCCAAAAGTTGTTCGCCGTACAAATTTCCAACATAGGTTTTCATTGAAATTATGGGCAGGAGTAATTGGGGATCAAGTAATTGGGATTTATGCACTTCCCAATCGTCTTAATTCAGAGGTATATTTGAACTTTCTTCAGAATGAGCTCATGGATATAATACCATTGGATGTGCGCCAGCAGTTTCAAGAAAATATGTTTTCTCAACATGATGGCGCCCCTACATATTTTGGATGCAATGTTCGAAATTGGTTGAATGTTTTCCAGACAGGTGGTTAGGCCGAGGAGGTCCTATAGCGTGGCCGCCACGTAAAACCTGACCTATATCCATTGGATTTCTATTTTTGGGGGTCATTAAAAGACCTAGTTTACTAGACTGAAGTAAATACTCAATAGGATTTACTTCAAAGAATCCATCAGGCTGCAAATGAAATAAGAAGAAAAAGGTTTTCCACTTTTCGGGCTACGCAATCATTAGTTCGTCGAGCGAGTCTCTGTATCCAACAAAATGGGAATTTATTTGAACACTTATTGTAAAGCTAGTTCTAAGTATATCCAACTGTATGTCTTCTTTTTTAAACAAATTTCAATTTCGTTCGTAGGAAAAAATTATTTTGCAATAGAAATATGTATTTATGTAATAGTTACCAATGATTAAATTAGTTTTTTCGTTACCATGGCTAATTATTTAAATTCGCAGTACATTTCCTATCATGTGACACATTTTTTAGTTTGATTTTATTCAAAAATTGCACAATTGATCCATATTCAATAAGAGTACCTTTTTTTTGTAGAAAACCCTAAATTTTCAAATTCTGAAATTGAATTTCAAAAAGAGAATCACACAAAAATTTTGGGGCTAAAATAACCTGAGTCCGTCCCTGTTACATACGCTTCCAAACAAAACTGTCCAAAATTGTCGATATTTTTAAATCCAGCATTAAAAACTAGGCTAGAATACCAAATTTTATGTCTTTATCTCAAAACGTTTCGGAAGTATTAAGGAAAAACCATCTTCGGGGGAGCCCCTTTAAAAGACCGTAGCGCCCTTAGGGGACGGTTGTCGACCTATGTTTATATAAAATTTTCTTCTTATTTTAAGCTCTAGAAACCGCTGGTAGAATATTGCACACTTTTTTCGGGACACCCTGTATACATATACGAATAAACAAAAGTTTCAGTATAGACCCAGAATTTACCTTGGGGTGTCGAAAATCGTACTAAGACTCCATCTGTACCATTTGTGTCAGCTTCAAGAAAATGTCGCTTATTAGGGAAGTGGGCGTATAAGCTAATTTTGGTCAACTGGCTTAAGAACAACTGAAACACCTTCCAAAAATGCTAAGAAACATCAACTTATACGAATATAAGAATATACGGTTAGTACCAGTGGAGGACTTTCTGTCTTACACAGGTAACAAATACTAAGAGAAAAGTTCCAGGTTGCTATGTGATGTTGTTGTGTTACAATCCTTTGGCATTACAAACCTTACGTTAAAAGTAATTTATTGTACGGTATAGTTTGGAAAATTTTTCATAGAGTTTTGTTCAGGTTATTGCAATGCCGCTACATCAACGAGTTTTGCTCGTCAGAGCTCACCTCCATGATGCTGCCGCGCGTTGTGCCTGCCAGACAGATCCGCCTGACTTCGGCTTCTCATGCTATCTGGGTCGAACTTCGTACATCCAGAACTAGCCGATACTACCGCTCCTCGAGGGTGTCGAGATTGTGGAACAATCTGCAAGAGAAAGCTTTTCCCAATTCTACAAACCTCAAGCATTTTATATATGCGTTTGCCCTTGAAACTGATAGAGAAATGCTTCCGATACGCATCCATGCTTCTACTCTCTGTGCTCACCGGCGGGCGTGCCGGTTTTGGTAAGTGTCCTGTGCCACGCTGCCACATCTGATGAGTCGTGCTGTCAGGTATCGAGATTGTTGACAGATGGACGGTACTACCGGCAGGGGAGCGAAAAGTGCCTATGGACTAATAGTATTTCTGTTACGTAATTCGTAACTAAGCTTTTTCTCAGAGAGTCTAACTTTCTATCTTTACAAGGGCACGATAGCTCGCTTTATAACGCGTCTTACATGTGTTGATTCGGATAAAAAGTTGACGCTAGTTTTCGCACCGTATCAACTGGGAAAATGTGCCAATAACACAAAATTCAAAAGAATTGGCTTACTGTAAATTATGATAAATGAAGTACGATAAAGCTTAGAGTTGCAGGCTCATCGAAGAGAAGAGAAGCAAAGAGAGGAAAAGATAAATTCTTTTGCTGGGTTCCGTTTCATATAATCAAATGACAAACCCGCACAGGAGTGACGTATCTCGTTTCACAATTGCAAATCACAAAAAATGTCACCGCAGTTCTTTTCACATCGCTTTTTCCCCTTGATAAGCGTGTACGTTTAATGTTGCACTAGGTACTATAGGGCATCACAGAAGAAACGAGTTCTTGCCGTAGCTGTTGCGTGCATTCAAAAACCTGACGTAATGTTATTTCTTCAAAGGTGGCAGATCGGATACACTCGTATAGTATAATAATTGAGTGCATCACAAACCAGGTGTAGATTTTTTTAGCTTTTTATGGATACGCCCCACTAAAAATTATCACTCTTATTAGGGTTGTAGGAACATTTACTTTTTACGCAGCCTTGTATGTTGCAAGGACATTGGCAAAACGACCTTAGAGCATTTAACGATAGGAGTTAAGTCATCTAAGAGGGCTACAGGTAACAGTTATGCATCAAAAGTGAAACTATTTTTTACGTACCGTATAATAATAGTAATAATAATAATAATAATAATAATAATAATAATAATAATAATAATAATAATAATAATAATAATAAATCGCCTTTATTTAGGTGGCGAAGCTTAGCATAACGCTACTCTGCCACTCAACCCAAAAAAAAGAAAAACTGAAAAAACAATACCAAAAACATAAATTCATTTGATAAGTTAGAAGTTTAGAAATGTAGGCGTATAAAAAATATGATGTATATAACATATATCAGTAAAGGCTATTCAATATTTCATGATCTAAAAGTATAAAATTGTAACATTTATACAAAACAAAGGAATGCTATATTGGAAATATTTTTGTGTGAGGTGATAGATAAATTTTATCAACTAATTTACTTACTTCTATTCAAAATAAATGTCTTCATTTGTCTTTTAAATTCTTCATATGATAGCAATTTTGTGGATCGAGGAAGAGCATTCTAAA